GAAGCTTGCAGTGTGTCTAGTTTGCTGGACAGAACTTGAAAGCTGTGGAATTCGTCCATATCGGCTACAAGCTCCTGAAGACGATGAAGATGAGGCCACGAAGAAAGAGCTCGATGAAGAGGTTCGTCGACAAGAAGAATCGTTGTTCAAGGATACGGTCCATCAAGCACAAGAAAACGTATCCGAATCCAACGACTATGGCTTCAACCCTGATGAAGTCGACTACAACGAAGGTGATGATGAAGAAATGGATCAGGAGGAGGAGACTCAACAGGAAGACGACGAAATCGTTGAAGAAGAAGACGACGATGAGATGGACGTCGAACCTGAAAATGAACCTTCATCCAAACTACCAGCATGGACCAAGAATCTTGAGTGCGGAAGCAAGGGTATGCCAGGAGACGGACTTGTCAACAATGATGTCTCCGAGGCCGCGGCTCACTTGTACGACAACGCCGTGATGTCAAAGATCATCGCAATGTTCAGACTCTACTACAAACAGAGAGTCACTCTGACCCCAGAGGAATACTATGCGATGATGACGGAAACCAAACGAGTCCGGCTGGACCTGGACGACTTCTGCCCTTATACAGGCGAAGACCAGGATGGCAACCTCAAGCGACCGACGGAGCTGGAATTGGACGAACTCTTTCAGGAGAAAGGGAAGAAGAACTCATGGTCAGAGGGAGAGAAGATGTACTCTGGACGGCCGAGAAACATGATGATGCCTGTCGTCAAAACTCTAGAGATCTATGAAAAGATGATGGAGTTTCTGGTATGTGCCGGGTACACTCCCGAGTCCTTAGGTTTCCTCATGCCAATGAATAGAATGCAGGCTGACGCACAGGGGAAACAGGAGATGAGAGTGACCATCAGCAACTTTCTCCGACGACTGCTGAAAGGAACCTTTCCAGAACATGAATCATATACCTTCTTTCGTTCCGGGAGCCACGGCTTCCCCAACTGCATTGAACTCCCAGCTTTCTCGGTATATCTGAGTCTGAGAGAAAAGGAACAAAGGGTGGAACTACTCTTTGCTGCACAACAATGCGGAATTCCGTTACCTCAAAACTTTGTCAGCAAGATGGCTTATGCTATTCAACTGGCTGAAGCCGAGGCGCAGAGGGGGAAGTCCGAGATGAAAATGAAGATGGCTCCAACCCTTGGCGACGAAGTGGTGAGTGAGGTATTCAAAGCAGTCGGAGGTAGTGCTGCTGCCAAGTTTGCCACCGCAGACGCAAAAGCCAAATCGTCAACACAGCCTTCACAGAAACCTGAAGGTACTGGTTCAGCGTCATCCTCATCGGCCAGTGCACCAAAGGCTAAGGCTATGCCGAGGTCCTATGAACCATCTAAAGCACCACCCGCGAAGCCTTCATCGCCGAAAGCTGCTCCGAAACGTGCGGCAGGATGGGAGAAATCCCCAACAACACCTCAATGGAAGAAAGTCCGCCGTGAGCAGTAAACCAACTACCTCTGTCCATCTAAATGATCACTGAACTATAAGATGTGTATCGTCTTTGTGAACAGATGATCAGGAAAAGACCAACTGAGTGGACTCTGAGCGAGGCAGTAGACTAATACGCTTAGATCCGAGATTTTCAATATTCCCAATCTGCACGAAGTTCTGCACAGTGCACGTGAATTCGTTAGTTAGCATTGTAAATCTTTGGTAGCGAAGCGGTCCACTTCTCCCGTCGGGTGAGTGACCTGCCTAGCCAACGTAGAAAAGTAGATGTTAGCTAGCAACAATTCGCGATGTACAGCTTGAAGAGACGCCGTTGCATCGACAGCCATAGAGTAGGCGAACCCGGAACCATTATTCCCGTCGGGTATGTGGGAAAGGGGGAGCCGAATGGCAAGTTTTATGTACATAGGCGTAATTCAAGTAGCAGAAACAATCTAATTCAAAGTTCCCTCTCTCGTGTCCGTGGTTCGAAGAATACCACGGGCATGGGGGGTGTCAAAGGGAACTAGGCGCTAGATCATGTGTCACATGATTGTATCAGTGTATCTCAAACGCCCTTTGTGGCTCAAGCGCCCCTTGAAGGAAAAGAATCGTGCCGTCGCTGCTGCGCCATAACGGGACTCGGTTGACCAGCGAAGCAGGTATCGGAACTACAATTGGCAACACCTAGAACAAGGGTAAAATTGTTCACATATATATATATATATAATCATATATGTGCAATTATATATATATATGTTAGTATGATGCAGACGAATTTTTGGGCGGAGCCTCACCTTCCAGGAGAAATTCTGGGACCTTCTACCAGAGACTTGGGCCCGAGTGTTTTTCTACGTTTTTGGGGCGGATTCGTTGGGATTTGGGCATCACTAACTATAGGAATTCATGATGGTTCCTAGCCGTTCCCCTAGTTGTTTTTCATGCTTCAATGATGGAGAATTGTAATTTATACGAGTTGGTGGTTTGCACTGCAGGAGCATGTTTTATTTTTCCATATATTGGGAATGTCATCATCCCAACTGACGAATTCATATTTTTTAGAGGGGTAGGTGTATACATAAGCACTAGAAATTGAAGCAACCCAGCAGGCTGGGAAGAAACCAGTTGATATCGCGGCACTGATGTTGGGAAGTGATCCCAACTTGGAAGAGAATCCCAGTAAACCGGCTGCTGAAGGGTTAGCAAAGAAATGCAAAAAGTGTGAATGAATGACAATTTTGATGGAGAAATGTTTCCTACGCGAGAAGTTAGTTATTTGGTGAGTAATTATCTAAGGCGAGCCAATGTGAATAGGTGGTCGATGGCTCTAGCTGGTTTGCCCCACGTCTGCTGTTTTCCTGCTTGTGCTTGGGTTAGAACCTTTGACCAGATGCTAAGTGGGATGATCCTCCAATTTAGTCGGAAACGGGAGCAGAGGCGCTAGATTTACAGGGTTCATTTGTTGGGCCCATGGATTTTGACATGGAAGTATAGGAAAGGGGGAAACAAAGTACTTCGACAGTACGTCACCCTAGTAGATGATTAGGGGTGGAGGACGCGTAGCTAAAATTTGGAGACATTCTTGCCACATTTGGACGCAAGTAATGTATGGTTCCAACAAAAGGCTTGCCTTTGCCCGCGATTTCGGCATACAGCTGGGAAAAGCCATTCCTCGACAGGACATTTCGCGTTGGTCCTTTCTACTGATGTGATTTCTGTTTCTACTGAAATGTGATTTCTGTTCAAAGACATGTGAATGTTTTGTTGGTGTTTGAAACAGCATTCCGCTTCAGCTTCAGCTTGGAGTTTCATGTGCCAGATTCATCCGACATGGCGATCCAGAGGGCCGCACGAAGCACGAAGCTCCCACAATCATGGGATACTTAGATACGTCGCAGGCCAGCACCTGGATGACTTCTTGTAGAGATACAACTTCAGCCAAGACTTGTGAGCATCGCGACTCAACCTCTGGTATTTTTTCTTGATAGGTAAATTATCTACAGTACAAGGTGACGCCCCCTAAAAATCGTTAAGATTTTTGTAAAGTTGAGATGTTGAATTATAACTTAATGAACTATACTTTATGGTAGATAAATCAACAGAACCGTTTGGGGGCCTCACTTTGAATCGACCATTGAATCAACATCTCGCTGGATCAAAATCGGTCACCAGGTTGCTTGCAAGATGAGGCCAGATATAAGTTGGTTGATGTTGGGAAAATAACCCCCATGAATACGCTAGTTATGTTGCCATAAACTATAAAATTGCCATAAACTACAAAACTGTATACTTATTGCCTGGTTGGTGGTTTGGAACATCAATTTTATTTTTCCATTCAGTTGGGAATGTCATCATCCCAACTGACGAACTCACTCCATCATTTTTCAGGATGGGGTAGGTGGCTCAACCACCAGTCAGTTGCAGTTAAGTTCACCAAGTTCTCGGTGGTCCCATCATGCGAAATCTGGATGCGGCATATACCCACCATGCGTGGCCCGTGGTGAAATCTCCTGTAAAATGGAGCTACGCTGACTGTCCCATATTGTTGGCCATATGAATTCTGGGCATATTCCCTGAAATTTAGCCCTGAAAAATAGGCCAAACAGATACAGTGGAATGCTAAAGTCGTGCCTAAAATTTGGAAATCATCGTAAATAGCTGGGGAGCACTTGATTTGAAAAGTCGTGCCTTTTTAGTAAAACGCATAGGAATTGCAATGTTTTGTTGGATTTGGTCTTTGGAATAGTTTTTGTTAATAAATCTTGCGTTTAGGTTGTGTTTAGCATCAAGGGTACCTTTTCCATATTGTTAATAAATCTTGCGATTAGGTTGTGTTTAGCATCAAGAGTACCTTTTCCATATTGTTAATTAATAAATCTTGCGTTTAGGGTGTGTTTAGCATCAAGAGTAACCTTATCCATACCAAGTCAAACTGGATGTGAGTGTAGCGATGAGTTGGTGTTTCTATTTTTTTCTTTCCAGTGTGCTGCGGCAGCCATTTTCACTTTTCACTGCGTGCTCAACGCGGCATTGTGGCACTTCAGCGTGTTGCTTGAGATGGAGGTGAGAAAGGTCATTGTTGTGTCTTCGTGTCGGTTTTAGTTTCTTATGTGGTTCCGCAGGCGGGTGGGCAGAGAGCCTTTCTTGTTATTTTTTGACGTCGTTTGCTACGTCGTTCGGACGTCGTTCGGCACGTCGTGGTTTCAAAAATAGGACAGGAAACCTATAGGAGAGGTTGGTTGTTGTGAATCACGGATGGCAGAGCGAAGCCACTGATGGACCGAGAGCAGCAAAGCGAAAAGAGTCAGCAAAGCGAAAAAAGTCAGCGGACCGAAGCGGCAAGTATTTCTCAACCCCAGAAACATGAACGGTAGAATGCAACTGTAGACGGATTTTTGCGAACATTTGATTTTCCCAAGTGTGGAAACATTCTTCTTATACATACGCGATTCCATGCTGTTTTAAGATTTGGGCATGACTTAGGCATGAGTTTCTTGAAACAGCGATTCCATGGTGATTTACTAGCAAATTTTGACCCAGGCATGAGTTAGGCATGAGTTTGTCGTTTGACTGTATGGAACCGGTACCTCCAATAGTTCTCGGTTCCTTCTCGGCCAGTGATATGACTTTCTTTGTTTGCGATTGAGAAGATGAATCCATATGACTCAATTAAAAGTACTATTCGCACTACGAATCGCAGCCCAGTTCACTATGGCATTCCCAGCTTTACCCGACTGGCTGAGGGGCCCAACAAAACGGAGAGCCTGGCTCGCGCGGTGGATCATTATATGAATTTGGGCTGGCGTCTTGGTACTCCGAGTTGTCCGATGCGGAAAACGTTGGGAAAGAAACATCAGTAAAGACTGGCGACTTGAGAGGAAAACAGATGCATGGAAAATATATATGCATTTTTTGAGGTACATAGGAGTTAATGAATATATAGATATTCTTAACTGAACCAAAGGAAAAACTGACTTTAATCGGATATTGACAGGGGTAAACCAACCGGATGCGTGTGGATTTAACCATGAAAGATCGGGGGTTGACCAACAAAATATGAAGAGACAAACATCCAAAATGGACTCTGCTTCCATTGCCACGGCAGCCAGAGACCCCCCCCGGCGATTTTGAAGACCATAAGATTTACGATGGCCAAGAGAGAACCTATTATGTGGTTATATCTACTGTATCTGGTTGGTGGTTTGGAACATTTTTGATTTCCCCCAATAGTTGGGATGATGATCCAATCTGACTAATATTTTTCAGAGGGGTTGAAACCACCAACCAGGTATGTTGTTTCGTTATGAATGGGTGGTTCCAAGTCGGGGATTTACCAATGGGTGGCTCCCAGTCGGGGACGAGAAAAATTCTCCAAGAAGCTTCAATGATTTTTGGCGCGTTCTCAAAAAAAATGCTCAGGAGATCAAGGACTAGCTTCAAATGTGACACACTCCGCATGAGATCAAGCTCGCAAGGGGCGTATACCACCCAGCAAAGGCCTGTAAAAAGACGTCGTTTCAAGTGATCACGGTAATAATATGCTTCTTGCGTTAAACAGTTGCTCTGTCATACTATATATACATATTACAAAATGTTCCGATTTTTCTTGCATATATTCGGACATTCTATCAGGCGTAAACTTTCACATTTATCGTGACAGTCTACTTGACATTTTATCCCCCGTGGTGTTTGCACCTATTGTTGGTTTATCAGCATAAGTTACACTTTGTCCATGTCCATTTATATCAGTTTATGGTGGGTGTTGTACATTCCCACTATTTGGTTGTATATCCCATCATGCTGTGGCTGGTTGCGAAATCCTGCACCAGTTCATATGTGGTTTATCCACGTTTATCTCATTACTTATAGGGTTTCAAACATCCGGTTGGTGGTGCAGGGTTTCGCAACCACCCTCCGTATCCCGATTAGCATTCAGTAATACCCCTACTTTATCCCTGAAGAATCACCGTTCTTCCTGCGGATGATCGTTGCAGTGGATGGATTTCGCATACAATTTGGTGCCCCCAGTTATAAGCTGGTTATAACCATATTTTACCCCCCCCAAAAAAAATGTAGCTAAATAATATTCCGTAACATGGAGTAGATGGGTACCACAAACCATAGTCATTTTAGTGTTTGCATTGAGAAACTTAGCTAATCACCGTGGCCAAGGATGGAAGACTTGGTGCAGCGGGGTGAGTGGAATATCGGTCGGGTGCCCAGCAGTGAACCGGGAAACTTGCTTGGCCCGGAGCCTTCATCATTACCATATCTGGTTGGTGGTTTGGAACATTTTTTATTTTTCCCTATATTGGGAATAATCATCCCAACTGACTTTCATATTTTTCAGAGGGGTAGGTATACCACCAGCCAGATATTCGTTTGATGCGGTCTAGGTCAATCTTGGATGCGTAGAAACTAATCCTTGAGTTTCTTGGTATCAATGGGATTATCTACTTACTAACCAGCCAAGAAGTGGTTATTTTTTGCAGGGGCCCTCTGGCTGATTGGCCATGTGGTAAACCATTCAGAATTCACACATAAATTGATGGAGGATTTTGATGAAGGTATAACCAACAATAGGGATGATGTTGGACATCAAAAGATTTTAATGAGATCTAACTATCAAAAATGGGGAATTGGACCATCAAAAAGTAGGGATTTACCTGACTTACTCCACAATGAAAAAATCATGACCTAAATAGTGGGGACATCATGGGATATAACAAATTATTCGACATGGCAATGCAATGAGATGTACGAGCGCAACGATAAGCAACGATAAGATAGACCAGTGATGCCGCACATGCCATGCCAAGAATCCAATCGGAACATCATTGTCAACATCACCATCTTATCGTTTCGTTGTACCAACAAGCTCACCATGGCAAAATCGGAACATCTTCTAGGATATTTCAGGCTTTGTTTTTGATGATTCACTGGCTATAATGTGATTTGGTGGGTTTTCAACAGGGAATAAATCATGGTTTTTGCTGTTTTCATTGACGAAGAACATGTCCTCCAATGAACTTTTTTGTTCAAGATCTATTTCTACTACGTTCATCGTTTTTATATATCAACCTGTCGGAAGACCTAGTCCTAGGAATGTTTCTTTGAATCTGTGGAAACCATCAATCTCTTACCCACTGATCAACTCAGATGCTATAAGAAATTATCATCTGGGAAATCAACGAAGTAAATGACCATGTTCCACAGCTATGTTAGTTTACCAGATAGCTAGGAAATCAAATTTGAGATTGATCATCTTCCAGGCATGGTGTCATATGGGCCTGGTTTACATGTTGATACCGTGTTAAACCACAGCTGGAAGCGGCCCGGCTTAGATCTATGGATCCATCTTAAATTGTAGGTTAAGTGCAAATGTTAAATCCAGAAATTCCCCGACTTTGCCGTTGAAGTTCCCAATGTCAATTTGTTATCCTCCAACTATCAACATCAAGTAAAAAATCATAGGTTGATTCTCCCAAGATCCATTCCGAAAGTCTCAAGCCCCAGAAAATTGTAGTTATAGGGAGATCAATAGCTAATAGCTATGTTTCATGTTGGGTGATAAAAAAAAGCAGCTACCCTCTGGTTCTTTAACCTATGGAGGATAAAAAAAACATCTTCTTTTCGGTAAATCATCCCTAAATGGTGTTACGAGCTGATAACCATCTTCCATAATGATCATGATCACTATCTTCAATGTGAATCATCCCTTTATCATCCAGGTGACAAGCTGTTCAAATCCCCGTCCAACAAGCTACAAGCAGGACTCAGGGGGTTCCAAACGTTGGTCAACGGTCGAGATGAACCGAGGCTGGAGGATGCCTCATCCCCGGGGCCTCAAGGGCTGTGCCTTCTTTGCCTCTTCGGAAGTGAAGACCCTCACAGGCGGGCGGCGAGGGCGACGTGGATGTTCCGTGGATGTTTGTTGTATCCCAAAAAATGGGCAGAATGGTAGACTGGAGGGCAAGAATCAAAAGAGCAGAAACTACCTGGTTGGTGGTTTCAAACATTCTTTATGTTCCATAATATATGGGATAATCCTTCCCATTGACTGATATGGCACCATGGTAACTCTGAAAATGATCCCAGCTCCACGAGCAAAGCACATCGTTGGTGGTTACATCAAAATAGCTCCCAAACAAGTTTTGTTGGATATGAAACACATATCACTCTTGGTGGATATCCATTAACATCCCCAAAAATCCCAATCAAAATATCCACATGACATATCCCTGGGGAAATTATGTTGCAACCTCACTGTCTTCCCTCACTGGGAATGATGGTTAGTAGGGATGACTATCCCCAAATGACCTTATTCCAGGTTAGTGAATTATTATTTACCCAGATACATGTCCTATAGATGTACATACATGTCCTATACTAGGTCAATCTTAGATGGCTACAAACTAATCCTCACTAGTCTTTTGGTATCAATGGGATTTTCTACTTACTCACCAGCTAAATCCATTTTATTTTCGCATTTTCCATGAAATAAACCATCCAGCGAGCTTGGGAATATCCACCATTTTAGGGAAGCCCCATCTATGGAAACCACTATATACCGATGGCTAGATTCTAGATACAAGGTGGTGCCCCCGTTGGATAGCTAAGTTGGTAAACATAACTCCAATTTCACTATGGTTAAGTTGGTGATATATATATATATATAGTCAATCAATCCCCATATCCATGGATATTCCATCAACCAATCTCCCTATATCCAGTTATATCGATAGTTTTCATGGGGTTTATGTTCACCAATTTATAACTGGGAATTGGGGGTCACATAACTCCTTTATTTCACAAACTGGCCACTAGAACTATTGGGATCCCCCATCGATGGAAACTCTCCTTCGGACCCCCTTTAAGGTGGTAGGAGACTTCCGTGAACACCGTTCGCCACTTGAACGTAAGCCACTACTACGTTTGATAGGACAGGTGATCCTCCAATGTTTGATGCTTCACATAAATAAGGGATTTATATGGATTTATAGTTGATACAGGGGATTTTGACAGATATGTGTATATATTTGCTATAGGCTATAGATATAGACTTTGAATCTTTGGTTTTTCAGTGGTTCAATCTTCTCCATCCTGCCATCTTGCGAGTTTTCCTCCTTTTGCATCCGCCTCAGGCATCAGCATTTGCCGCGATCGCAGCGTCGCTTGGGCCGTGGTTTTTGGGATTTCGAAGGCTGGTTCGAAAATCAAAGGAAGGGTGGTTACTTGGTCTATACCAGTGGATTTATATGTGGTCTTTAATCCGTTTAACCCCAGCAACATTTATAATTCATATCATTCGGTATATGTGAAGCTTAAGGGTACCCGATCCTAAGCCAACAGTATCAGAGGTTCATAAGCCGCATTGTTTGGTATGTTTGGTTGAGGGGGTCAACAACCCCAAGACACAAAGATCATGGTTTACTTCTTGAGGGTTGCCTTTGGGTGCCCTATGGCCCTATGGTACTTCCGTAATGCCTTGGAACTGGGTCTGCGTGGGTGCCATCACAGGCTACGAGTTGATGGTTGATGACGGTTGATGGGTCGACGGGGGTCTTCACCGATTGAAGCCGATTGGCAAAGCCTATACCATTGCTGGTTGGTGCTTTGGAACATGAATTTTATGACTTTCCATAGATTGGAATGTCATCATTCCAACTGATGAACTCATATTTTGCAGAGGGGTAGGTGGCTCAACCACCAACCAGATTATCATGGAATTCACATGGTAAGTGGACAAAAAAAGTTCGTGAAATCCCAGTTTTGGGAGCGTGAAATAGCTATGTTGAGTGCCAGGCCTCAAAGTCATCGACGATAGAAAAAAACAGTGGGCAACTCCCCGGGAGGCTATGCCATACGCATTTCATACCCGGCCTGGTAAACGTTGACATAACTATGGAAAATCACCATTTTTCATGGGTAAATCCACTATAAATTGCCATTTTCAATAGCTATGTTAGTATACCAGAGGGTAAATGTGAAGGAATCCCGAAGATTTTTCCGGGTGAAACCAGCAACCAGAGAGATTCTTGGCTTAGCCAATGCGCTCTTTATGCGGCCACGTGCTGGATTTTTGGCCAGTTTTTTCCATGGGACAATGGGTCTGACCACTGGATTGACCAATGTTGGATGAACCACTGTGGTGAAATCCATCTGAATCTGGGAATTCGGAATCGTTTCCCTCAAATCCAAGAAGGAAGCAGGCTACATATGGCTAGTTCTTTCGCATTTTCCCAACTATAAATCTCCAAAGAAATTATCTCCATTTATAATGGATTTGCCAATATGGTGGTTTCCTAAGTCATAGGGCTACCCCCAGTCGTCATCCATTTTGATGGGATGTTCCATGGAATAAACCATCCAGCTATTTAGATAAACCATGATGAAAACTGGGGGTACCACCAAATAAACCATATGGTGGTTTTCCATAAATGGGCTTTCCCATGGAATAAACCAGCTATTGGGGGTACCCCATTGATCGAAACCACCATATGTTCCCTATATTTTTCCGATTTTCTCCATGTTTGGCGATTTCCCAGCCACCTCAGCGAGAGCTCAGGAGTTTGACGATTTCCGAGGCTGCAGGGTTTTCCCGTCATGGACGACATCGGTGAAAACCCAACTGGAAATCGGTGACTCACCCACTAAGGGGTAAACTCTGGTAGTTCAATGGGAAAATCATGGGAAAGCAACCAACAATCATGGATGAATACTCAATAATTTAACAGTTTGCTACTGAAAACTGCCCACTTATAGTTAATTTACATGAATTTACCTATTCACAATGCTGATTTTCTATAGCTATGTTAGTTCTGTTAGTTTCCCAGAGGGTTTTGTTAAAAAAAGTGGGGATTCTGTTGGTATTTATAGAGATTTATAGGGGATAACTGGGGATCCGTGGGGGTGGCCAGCAGATACGTCAGCAGATACGTCGTGGTTCTTCTCATGACCGATATCCCATATCTCATGATGATCCCATATTCTCCATCATCATTATCCCATATTAAATCCATATCTCATGTCTTATTATCCCATAATCCATATGATCTAAGAAGTTTCCCGTTCTTATCCCATCATTTTCCGGAAATTCCCGGTGAGTTCCTCTCTGCCATCATTGCTTCCGGCACGGCCTTCCGCCGCGCCGGCCTTCCGTGGTCAGGTCTGCGGGCCCAGTGCGCCTTGACCTGCGAGTGTCGCTCAGGGCAGGTGGCCTGCCCTAGGACCTGCCCCGTGGCCATCGAATGAGATCTCCTCAGATGATCCCGGAGAGGTGGAAAACGTGGGAATTCCCGGGTCAGAACTCCAATAGAAATGGTGAACATAGTTGGCGAACATAACTCCAATAAGTTGGTTGATTGAACATGATTGAACTATAAAACCATCCAGTTGAGGTGGAAAAAATCTAGGTCAATCAACTGGATGGTTTTATAGTTGGTGAACATAAGTCCAATAGCTATGGTTTGTAAGATTGGCCATGATAAGAATTGTAGTAAAAGTAAACTGTTCTGACTTATCTGAGAATTACCAAATTATAAACTATAACTACAACTTTTATAACATGCAACTTTTGAAGGTGAGTAGTACTAAAATTAGAGAAGTCTTGCGTAGTTTATAAGTTTATAAACCCAATTTAACTCTATGTTTTATGCTCATTGAATCACAAAAAAACAACGTATCATGACTATTATGCTCTTCTGGAGTTCATCGGGATGAAAGTGAGAGAAGATCCTCGTCCAGATGGAGAGTTCTGGTACTCAAAGAATAGGACTAAAGAATATGTTCATACAACTTGGTAACCAACGGTTATATAACTAATATAACATACTATATTATCATATAATATATCATAATGTAATATTAACAATACAAAAACTATGTTGCCTAACCATATGGTAGGAAAAGTCTTACTAGTTCCACAACCGTTCATCTCAGCTCCCTGGATACCAACTGGATTTCGTCAGTGATATCCCCTGTTATAATGGTTACCCTCTGGTAAATTAACATAGGCCCTGGCAGATAGGAGTTGGAAGATTAGCTTCCATTAAAAATTTGTTATTTTCAGCGTCTATGTTAATTTACCAGAGGGTAAATGTTATTTGTTCCATGAAAAATGCATAAAATATCTATAAATGTATAGGTTACCATGGAAAAATAATCTATAAATGAGGGGTTACCAGAGGGTAAACAAGTTATTGCTCCCATATTGAACTAAAGAGCTGGATGTCTTACGTCTAATCAAGGACGATGGGGGGTGCGTACCAGGAAAAGGGGTGTCGTTGTTAAACGATAAAAGAATTAGACTGGTTGGTGGTTTGGAACATGAATTTTCTTTTTTCTACATATTGGGAATGTCATCATCCCAACTGACGAGCTCCATCATTTTTCAGAGGGGTAGGTACACCACCAACCAGTTATATCTTTAGTTTTCATGGGGTTTATAAACCAATTTATAACTGGGAATTGGTGAACATAACTCCGATTTCACTATGGTTTATAACTATTGGGATCCCCCATTATGGAATTGGGTTTACCAGTTTACCACATTAGTTTCTATGCATGATTGAGTAGGTGCCTTTGGATCGGAGACGGTATGCCAGTCTAATTATGCGGATTTAACAAAAACAACACATGTGGTAAATAGCCGTAAACCCAAAGCCATACACAATCCCGGAAAAGGTGATAGCGATAGAATGGAACCGATGAGAATGGCTAAATATATGGCTGAATGTTTGCGCTTAAAAAAACGACATCACCATAAATGGCCAGCAATCACATATGGCATGAAATCAGTTTTGAGTTTGTGTTGATCACAGTGAGTATTTTCACTCACCAAATAAGCCAAAAATTCTTCTGAAAATCTGAAACTCTAGAATTTCATGGCGAAGCACCATTTCATCATTAAGATGAACTTCACTGGTGGCATACCCCCATTAATCATGTATTTATTGCGAACCCACTGGGAGAAGTTGACCCAAAGTCCGGCGCGCACAACTTGGCAGTCCAAAAAAGACTGCGCGGCTGTGCAACCGAGCAAGACCTTGGTGAAATATCGCCATGATGGTTAATGATGGTTAATAGTCATTAATGAATGATGGTTAATGATGGTTACTGATAGTTAATGATGGTTTATGTGGATAAAACAGTGCCATAAACCGCCCATTTGGAAATGGTTTATACAAGCTATTTATGGATGGAATATTCCAAACATTTTGGTAAACTAACATAACTACTAGGTCAATCTTGAATGGGTACTTTAATCATTTTGTCTTTTGGTATCAATGGGATTATCTACGTTCACCAGCTAAGTTTTTTTTGCAGGGTATCTAAGATTGGCCATGGTTAATGTGGGTAAAACAATGCCATAAGCCACCCATGACTGGTAACCATACAACCTAATTATAAAAATGGTGAGGACTGGGGGATGGTTTATGGCATTGTTTTACCCAAATTATACCCATGAAATCCCTATTACACCCATTATGTTTGTTGGAAAAATATCCCTATAATTATGGATATATCTGCTAGGGTCAACGAAAATGTCAGGAGCCCGACATGGAGGTACTGTACCATATAAATAATATAAAGCCATATGTGGGTGAGATTTTCCCATTTAGCCCTTAGGCCTTTAAAAAAAAGTAGGTACTTGCAATGCATCGATGAAATGGCCGTTGAATGGTAATGTTAACCCAGGATAAAGGCTGATGGTAGATACAACGAACTAGTATTCATGGGGTTTATAAAGCAACACAACTCGGCACCATCCTGTATGGTTGTTTGTTTGTAATGTGTAACCGAGTGTAACCATGCTTCCTGAGCTGTATGTTTATTCAATTTCATACTTTTTTATCCTCAATTGAATCATGGGGATGGTGCTCCTCTAAGCAATTGATCATCTCCACTGTAAGAAACTAGAAATATCCGACCAACAAAGCATCTCCCAACAAAGATAGAAACTGGATAAATTTGGTAAAAAGCCTACTAAAACAGGATAACTCACTTTTCTATCCTATTATTTTGGTGGTTACTATAACTATGCTTCCCCCAAAATCATCCAGAGAGTTGCAGTGAGCCCCGCTTCTCGTCCCTGTAGCTTGCCATGTGCTGATCGTTTGTAAAAGGGCGGATTCTGGGTCACTGCCGCTGGTTTATGGATGTTTATGGTAGATAGCATTATAGTAGTATATAGGTGTATAAAGTAATATGCATCAACCTGTAATTAGGGGGCAACTTGGACCAATGTGTTGTCTCGTGGTTTCGCCTTTTCTGGGCCTATTTGTATATGCTGGTCCTCCAAGATTGTTCATAGTTTTGCCCAGAACTTGCTAACAAAAATGCCATGTTCAGCTGATGAAATCGTTGTAAATCCATGGGATTTGGGGGTGCCCGATATTTGGACACAAAAGCAGTCTACTCGACGGTAATGGTCGAGTTTTTTGCCACGGTCATGGAGGAAAATCTTTGAATTCTGAATGGGGTCCCCGTTGGTTGGAGAGCCTTTGCCGAACAGAAAAGTGGCTGAATTCGATTGGGTTGATGGTACAACGAACTAGTATTCATGGGGTTTATAAAGCAACACAACTGGGCACCATCCTGTATGGTTGTTTGCTTGTAATGTGTAACCGAGTGTAACCATGCTTCCTGAGCTGTATGTTTATTCAATTTCATACTTTTTTATCCTCAAATGAATCATGGGGATGGTGCTCCTCTAAGCAATTGATCATCTCCACTGGAAAAAAAGAGAAATATCCGACCAACAAAGCATCTCCCAACAAAGATAGAAACTGGATAAATTTGGTAAAAAGCCTACTAAAACAGGATAACTCACTTTTCTATTCTATTATTTTGGTGGTTACTATAACTATGCTTCCCCAAAATCATCCAGAGAGTTGCAGTGAGCCCCGCTTCTTGTCCCTGTAGCTTGCCATGTGCTGATCGTTTGCAAAAGGGCGGATTCCGGGTCACTGCCGCTGGAGCAAAGCTCGTCTTCCACCAACATGGCTTTGTCGGGAAATCGGGATAGTCTCAAGTTTGGTTACCCGTGTTGAAGTACCAAATTCTATCTATCTTGTTTTTTTCCCCGTTTATCCCGTAAATCCCAATGTTCTGTGGAATTTCCCTATGAATATCACCGATAATCATCATGTCCCCGATTTGAAAGACACCATTTTGGAGGTATATTGCAGGTTTGGGCAGTTGTTTGCATACGTGGACGCTTCTCCAGCAGTTTTCACACCCCTTCTTGGTTGCTGACTACAGGGGAGTAGTTATACGGTTGTATTAATTACTCAATATATTGGGGATTGTCACCATGCATGAACTGGGAATCCCTTTCTAAACCAACCGGTATGTCATGGAATATCATGGAATGCCGCAACATGCCGCAGTTTTGAACAGTGCTCGTTTCTGAAAGGAAGTTCCATCCTTCAGAAAGGATGCTTCATGATCGACCCCTACAGACCATGCACGACGAAACGACCCTACTTCTATCCCTACTATCTGGGTAAATTATAACGACCTCATTGTCTTCCCTCACTGGGAATGATGGTTAGTAGGGGTGACTATACCTTTTATGACTGCAAGTTTCAGGTTAGTGAATTATGTTAATTTACCCAGTACTATATTTGGGTCACTTCTATCCCTACTACATTTGGGTCAATCCGTGTCAATCCGAAAAAACCTGCAGATTTTAATCCTCACTGGTCGAAGTTCCCCACTCGCTCCAGCTGACCCCATTTGGCCCATGATCCAAGTTTCTGAATCCGTCAACTTAAGAGAAACTCACAGAGCTATGAACTTGCATAGAAACAATTAGAAACATTACAATAGAAACATGTTTTTCACATGGTTAAACAGAATCCCAAAATATATATATATATCCTCTGGTAATTTAACATAGCCATGGAAGCCATGGCCCATTTATAGATGGTTTACCTATTAAGAATGGTGGTTTTCAATAGCTATGTTAAATAACCAGGGAGTATAACCTAATACTAGGGCATCACTTTCTTACCAAAGGTGGGACTCGTGGTTCATCTCCTTAGTGGGTTAACCGAACACCAGTGGATTAACCCGGTCACTGGTCCCACGGAAAAAACTGGTCGTGTGAACTAAGCCACAAAAACGAAAACCGTGGGATGTTTCGCATCTTAAATGTATCCCCATGTTTTCGCAAATTCTCCGTATACTATAGTAGCTAATGATAGTTGATGACTACCTATTAATAGCATGGTGATTTTCCATAGTTTCGGTATGTTTACCAGAGGGTATATATGGGATGATAGTATAATATACTGGTTGGTGGTTTGGAACATGGTTTATAC